TATCTGTGTTGTAGTTTATCTGTGTTGTAGTTTATCTGTGTTGTAGTTTATCTGTGTTATAGTTTATCTGTGTTGTAGTTTATCTGTGTTGTAGTTTATCTGTGTTGTAGTTTATCTGTGTTGTAGTTTAGTTGTGTTGTAGTTTATCTGTGTTGTAGTTTATCTGTGTTATAGTTTATCTGTGTTGTAGTTTAGTTGTGTTGTAGTTTATCTGTGTTGTAGTTTATCTGTGTTGTAATTTATCTGTGTTGTAGTTTATCTGTGTTGTAGTTTATCTGTGTTGTAGTTTATCTGTGTTGTAGTTTATCTGTGTTATAGTTTATCTGTGTTGTAGTTTATCTGTGTTGTAGTTTATCTGTGTTGTAGTTTATCTGTGTTGTAGTTTATCTGTGTTGTAGTTTATCTGTGTTTGTAGTTTATCTGTGTTGTAGTTTAGTTGTGTTGTAGTTTATCTGTGTTGTAGTTTATCTGTGTTATAGTTTATCTGTGTTGTAGTTTAGTTGTGTTGTAGTTTATCTGTGTTGTAGTTTTATCTGTGTTGTAGTTTATCTGTGTTGTAGTTTATCTGTGTTGTAGTTTATCTGTGTTGTAGTTTATCTGTGTTGTAGTTTATCTGTGTTGTAGTTTAGTTGTGTTGTAGTTTATCTGTGTTGTAGTTTATCTGTGTTGTAGTTTATCTGTGTTGTAGTTTATCTGTGTTGTAGTTTATCTGTGTTGTAGTTTATCTGTGTTGTAGTTTAGTTGTGTTGTAGTTTATCTGTGTTGTAGTTTAGTTGTGTTGTAGTTTATCTGTGTTGTAGTTTATCTGTATTGTAGTTTATCTGTGTTGTAGTTTATCTGTGTTGTAGTTTATCTGTGTTGTAGTTTATCTGTGTTGTAGTTTATCTGTGTTGTAGTTTAGTTGTGTTGTAGTTTATCTGTGTTGTAGTTTATCTGTATTGTAGTTTATCTGTGTTGTAGTTTATCTGTGTTGTAGTTTATCTGTGTTGTAGTTTATCTGTGTTGTAGTTTATCTGTGTTGTAGTTTAGTTGTGTTGTAGTTTATCTTGTGTTGTAGTTTAGTTGTGTTGTAGTTTATCTGTGTTGTAGTTTATCTGTGTTGTAGTTTATCTGTGTTGTAGTTTAGTTGTGTTGTAGTTTATCTGTGTTGTAGTTTATCTGTGTTATAGTTTATCTGTGTTGTAGTTTAGTTGTGTTTTAGTTTATCTGTGTTGTAGTTTATCTGTGTTGTAGTGTAGTTGTGTTGTAGTTTATCTGTGTTGTAGTTTATCTGTGCTGTAGTTTAGTTGTGTTGTAGTTTATCTGTGCTGTAGTTTATCTGTGTTGTAGTTTATCTGTGTTGTAGTTTAGTTGTGTTGTAGTTTATCTGTGTTGTAGTTTATCTGTGTAATGGTTTATCTGTGTTGTAGTTTAGTTGTGGTGTAGTTTATCTGTGTTGTAGTTTATCTGTGTTGTAGTTTAGTTGTGTTGTAGTTTATCTGTGTTGTAGTTTATCTGTGTTATAGTTTATCTGTGTTGTAGTTTAGTTGTGTTGTAGTTTATCTGTGTTGTAGTTTATCTGTGTTGTAGTTTAGTTGTGTTGTAGTTTAGTTGTGCTGTAGTTTATCTGTGTTGTAGTTTATCTGTGTTGTAGTTTATCTGTGTTGTAGTTTAGTTGTGTTGTAGTTTATCTGTGTTGTAGTTTATCTGTGTTGTAGTTTATCTGTGTTGTAGTTTATCTGTGTTGTAGTTTAGTTGTGTTGTAGTTTATCTGTGTTGTAGTTTATCTGTGTTGTAGTTTATCTGTGTTGTAGTTTATCTGTGTTGTAGTTTAGTTGTGTTGTAGTTTATCTGTGTTGTAGTTTATCTGTGTTGTAGTTTCTGTGTTGTAGTTTATCTGTGTTGTAGTTTATCTGTGCTGTAGTTTCTGTGTTTGTAGTTTATCTGTGTTGTAGTTTATCTGTGTTGTAGTTTATCTGTGTTATAGTTTATCTGTGTTGTAGTTTAGTTGTGTTGTAGTTTATCTGTGTTGTAGTTTATCTGTGTTGTAGTTTCTGTGTTGTAGTTTATCTGTGTTGTAGTTTATCTGTGTTGTAGTTTAGTTGCGTTTGTAGTTTAGTTGTGTTGTAGTTTATCTGTGTTGTAGTTTATCTATGTTGTAGTTTATCTGTGTTGTAGTTTAGTTGTGTTGTAGTTTATCTGTGTTGTAGTTTATCTGTGTTGTAGTTTATCTGTGTTATAGTTTATCTGTGTTGTAGTTTATCTGTGTTGTAGTTTATCTGTGTTGTAGTTTATATCTGTGTTGTAGTTTATCTGTGTTATAGTTTATCTGTGTTGTAGTTTATCTGTGTTGTAGTTTATCTGTGTTGTAGTTTATCTGTGTTATAGTTTATCTATGTTGTAATTTATCTGTGTTGTAGTTTATCTGTGTTTGTAGTTTATCTGTGTTGTAGTTTATCTGTGTTGTAGTTTATCTGTGTTGTAGTTTATCTGTGTTGTAGTTTATCTGTGTTGTAGTTTATCTGTGTTATAGTTTATCTGTGTTGTAGTTTAGTTGTGCTGTAGTTTATCTGTGTTGTAGTTTATCTGTGTTGTAGTTTCTATGTTGTAGTTTATCTGTGTTGTAGTTTAGTTGTGTTGTAGTTTATCTGTGTTGTAGTTTATCTGTGTTGTAGTTTATCTGTGTTGTAGTTTATCTGTGTTGTAGTTTATCTGTGTTGTAGTTTATCTGTGTTATAGTTTATCTGTGTTGTAGTTTAGCTGTGTTGTAGTTTATCTGTGTTGTAGTTTCTGTGTTGTAGTTTATCTGTGTTGTAGTTTATCTGTGTTGTAGTTTATCTGTGTTGTAGTTTAGTTGTGTTGTAGTTTATCTGTGTTGTAGTTTAGTTGTGTTGTAGTTTATCTGTGTTATAGTTTATCTCTGTTGTTGTTTAGTTGTGTTGTGTAGTTTATCTGTGTTGTAGTTTAGCTATGTTGTAGTTTATCTGTGTTGTAGTTTATCTGTGTTATAGTTTATCTCTGTTGTTGTTTAGTTGTGTTGTAGTTTATCTGTGTTGTAGTTTATCTGTGTTGTAGTTTATCTGTGTTGTAGTTTAGTTGTGTTGTAGTTTATCTGTGTTGTAGTTTAGTTTGTGTTGTAGTTTATCTGTGTTGTAGTTTATCTGTGTTGTAGTTTATTCTCTGTTGTTGTTTAGTTGTGTTGTAGTTTATCTGTGTTGTAGTTTATCTGTGTTGTAGTTTATCTCTGTTGTTGTTTAGTTGTGTTGTAGTTTATCTGTGTTATAGTTTATCTGTGTTGTAGTTTAGTTGTGTTGTAGTTTATCTGTGTTGTAGTTTAGTTGTGTTGTAGTTTATCTGTGTTGTAGTTTAGTTGTGTTGTAGTTTATCTGTGTTGTAGTTTAGTTGTGTTGTAGTTTATCTGTGTTGTAGTTTATCTGTGTTGTAGTTTAGCTATGTTGTAGTTTATCTGTGTTTTAGTTTCTGTGTTGTAGTTTATATGTGTTATAGTTTATCTGTGTTGTAGTTTATCTGTGTTGTAGTTTATCTGTGTTGTAGTTTATCTGTGTTATAGTTTATCTCTGTTGTTGTTTAGTTGTGTTGTAGTTTATCTGTGTTGTAGTTTAGCTGTGTTGTAGTTTATCTGTGTTTTAGTTTCTGTGTTGTAGTTTATATGTGTTTATAGTTTATCTGTGTTGTAGTTTATCTGTGTTGTAGTTTAGCTGTGTTGTAGTTTATCTGTGTTGTAGTTTATCTGTGTTGTATTTTATCTGTGTTGTAGTTTATCTGTGTTATAGTTTATCTGTGTTGTAGTTTATCTGTGTTGTAGTTTATCTGTGTTGTAGTTTATCTGTTTTGTAGTTTATCTGGGTTGTAGTTTATCTGTGTTGTAGTTTAGCTGTGTTGTAGTTTATCTGTGTTGTAGTTTATCTGTGTTGTAGTTTATCTGTGTTGTAGTTTATCTGTGTTGTAGTTTATCTGTGTTGTAGTTTATCTGTGTTTATTATTTATCTGTGTTACAGTTTTGCTGTGTTGTAGTTTATCTGTGTCATAGTTTATCTGTGTTATAGTTTATCTGTGTTGTAGTTTAACTGTGTTGTAGTTTAACTATGTTGTAGTTTAGCTGTGTTGTAGTTTAACTATGTTGTAGTTTAGCTGTGTTGTAGTTTAACTATGTTGTAGTTTAGCTGTGTTGTAGTTTAACTATGTTGTAGTTTAGCTGTGTTGTAGTTTAACTATGTTGTAGTTTAGCTGTGTTGTAGTTTAACTATGTTGTAGTTTAGCTGTGTTGTAGTTTAACTGTGTTGTAGTTTAACTATGTTGTAGTTTAACTGTGTTGTAGTTTAACTATGTTGTAGTTTAGCTGTGTTGTAGTTTAACTATTTTGTAGTTTAGCTGTGTTGTAGTTTAACTATATTGTAGTTTATCTGTGTTGTAGTTTATCTGTGTTGTAGTTTAACTGTGTTGTAGTTTAGGTTACATTTTAAGCTAAGGTGTAGCCATTATTGCAGTACCTCTCTGACGACCTTCATTTCGTTGTTGTTATTCCCAATTATTGTATTTTTATATCTTCTATTCTCGATGTTACGTACTTTTACGTGGGTTTTAATTTCTCAGATTGATTTCCAATACCTTTAAAAATCTTTTTTCTCTGTATTTCCTAACTTTTTCTCAGACTTCTCACACTTTTACCAAGTGTTTACAACTTTTGCTGTGTATTTACTCTTGGATTGTTATCCAATAATCTGTTTCTTCAGTGTCTAATTCATTCAAGGTAAACACCAGGTTTAGTATCGCTGGTTTATCTGGTAGTGCTTCCCTTGAGGTATTCAGGTACCTTGTTTGTGCTTGGTATTATATGAAGGTGATTGAGTACCTGATGAGGCACCTAATATGAATCTGCATTAGTACCCATATAATATTAGTTATGGAATTCTTACACTTAATTTGTAGTGACTAACACTTAGATATTTTGTCACCATATATCATAACATAGTTACCTTTGGTCTTTCTTACATAGTTACCTTGGCGCTCCACATGTAGTTACCACCAACAATGAGTTTATCCTTGTTTAGGCAGAACCCGCCAGACGGCAGCACCAACTTGGCTTCACAGAAGAGTTTGTTCAGTAGCATCAGTGTCCTCTGGTGGCCCTCTTGCAGCTCTCTCTGTGGAAGTCCACAATAAAGGAAAAATATAAGCAACAGTGAACAACAACCTGGACCTTTGGTGGCCCTCTTGCAGCTCTCTCTGTAGGACTCCCCAGGGAAGGAGAGTGAACCACAACCTGGAAATCCGGTGGCCCTCTTGCAGCTCTCTCTGCAGGAGTCCCCAGGGAAGAACAGTGAACCACAACCTGGACAAGTCATTTAAACACGTACCTTAAACCACACCTTAAATAATTTAAACATTGAAACTAAACCAGAACAAATCATTAACGTATATTGATAATAATAATAATAATAATAATAATAATAATAATAATAATAATAATAATATAATAATAATAATAATAATAATAAATAATAATAATAATAAATAATAATAATAATAAATAATAATAATAATAATAATAATAATAATAATAATAATATAAATAATAATAATAATAATAATAATAATAATAATAATAATAATAATAATAATAATAATAATAAAATAATAATAAATAATAATAATAATAATATAATAATAATATAATAATAATAATATATAATAATAACAATAATAATAATAATAATAATAATAATAATAATAATAATAATAATAATAATAATAATAATAATAACAATAATAATAATAATAATAATAATAATAATAATAATAATAATAATAATAAAATAATAATAATAATAATAATAATAATAATAATAATAATAATAATAATAATAATAATAATAATAATAATAATAATAATAATAAAATAATAATAATAATAATAATAATAATATAATAATAATAATAATAATAATAATAATAATAATAATAATAACAATAATAATAATAACAATAATAATAATAATAATAATAATAATAATAATAATAATAATAATAATAATAATAATAATAATATAATAATAATAATAATAATAACAATAATAATAATAATAATAATAATAATAATAATAATAATAATAATAATAATAATAATAATAATAATACTAATAGTATCTTTATTTCTAAAAGTATACAGACCATAGCTGACATACTACTATATAGGAAGTCACATGTTATGCTGAGCATTTCCAGCAAATTAGGTCAGTTTTGTCCCAGGATGTGACCCACACCAGTCAAATAGCACCAAAATACCTATTTTACTGCTAGGTGAACACTGACAGCAGGTGTCTTAGGGAAACGCGTCCTGATGTTTCCACCCGTATCGGGGATCGATCCCCGGACCTCAGTGTGTGAGCTGAGTGTGTTAACGATCTTTTTGAATAGTCATATTAGAAAAAGGGCGTCATTATTTTATTTTATTCTATTTTTATGATTAATAACAATAATAGCAATAATAATTTCATGGGAGGGCCATATCTATTTCCTAGAAGGGCCACATGTGGCCCCTCTGGGCATATCCATTTCCTACACGGGCCACTTCCGGCCCCTCAGGCCATATCCATTTCCTACAAGGGCCACTTGCGGCCCCTCAGGACATATCCATTTCCTTCAAGGGCCACTTCCTATCCACCCAGGACATATCCATTTCCTACAAGGGCCACTTCCGGCCCCTCAGGACATATCCATTTCCTACAAGGGCCACTTCCGGCCCCTCAGGACATATCCATTTCCTACAAGGGCCACTTCCGGCCCCTCAGGACATATCCATTTCCTACAAGGGCCACTTCCGGCCCCTCAGGACATATCCATTTCCTACAAGGGCCACTTTCGGCCCCTCAGGCAATATCCATTTCCTACAAGGGCCACTTCCGGCCCCTCAGGACATATCCATTTCCTTCAAGGGCCACTTGCGGGCCCTCAGGCCATATCCATTTCCTACAAGGGCCACTTGCGGCCCCTCAGGACATATCCATTTCCTGAAAGGGCCACATGCGGCCCTCGGGCCACAGGTTGGGTGACCTTTGGCGTACGTGTTAACCTTCTTCACTCAAGTTCAGACAACGGACTGAAGGCAACAGCAGTGAGGAGGTAAAGATGATGTCAATCTCACTCCTGCTGTCTTCAGTCCTGTCCTTGTACTTGACTGAAGAAATCTAACACGTGGGCGAAACGTTACATCAACTTGTCAGTATTTTTACACCGTCTTAAAAGTCTCACATGAAAATGGAATAACAAATTGGCTAGTCCTACTTATGATCTATGAGGAGAAACAGAACTGTATCTCCAACTGGGGGACTGATTACCTCAAACTTCCTTTGTCAGTATTGGACTGACAAAGTCACTGGCAGGGGAAACATTCCCTCGCTAAAGACAGTAACTTGTTGTACAGGAGTCAAGATCTTTTAAATAATTGCTTTTACCTTAATTAATCAGATATTAAATTCTGCATCAAATCATGTAATATCAAGGGTATAGATGTATTACTGCAATGACTTTAATTCTGTAAAAATTTTTTATATGTATACATTGTGGGAACACCAGCAGTGTTGCTACACTATTCTATATGATAGTTACATTTGTGGGAACACCATAGCATGTTACTAACCAACATAATTCTATATGATAGTTACATTGTGGGAACACCAGCAGTGTTGCTACACTGTTCTATATGATAGTTACATTGTGGGAACACAAGCATGTTGCTACACTATTCTATATGATATGTTACATTGTGGGAACACCAGCAGTGTTGCTACACTATTCTATATGATAGTTACATTGTGGGAACACCAGCAATGTTGCTACACTATTCTTAAAGATAGTTACATGTGGGAACACCAGCAGTGTTGCTACACTATTCTATATGATAGTTTACATTGTGGGAACACCAGCAGTGTTGCTACACTATTCTATATGATAGTTACAATTTTGGGAACACCAGCAGTGTTGCTACACTATTCTATATGATAGTTACATTGTGGGGAAAACAAGCAGTGTGTTGCTACACTATTCTATATGATAGTTACATTGTGGGAACACCAGCAGTGTGTTGCTACACTATTCTATATGATAGTTACATTGTGGGAACACCAGCAGTGTTGCTACACTATTCTATATGATAGTTACATTGTGGGAACACCAGCAGTGTGTTGCTACACTATTCTATATGATAGTTACATTGTGGGAACACCAGCAGTGTGTTGCTACACTATACTATATGATAGTTACATTGTTGGAACACCAGCATGTGTTGCTACACTATTCTATATGATAGTTACATTGTGGGAACACCACAGTGTTGCTACACTATTCTATATGATAGTTACATTGTGGGAACACCAGCAGTGTGTTGCTACACTATTCTGTATGATAGTTACATTGTGGGAATACCAACAGTGTTGCTACACTATTCTATATGATAGTTACATTGTGGGAACACCAGCAGTGTGTTGCTACACTATTCTGTATGATAGTTACATTGTGGGAATACCAACAGTGTTGCTACACTATTCTATATGATAGTTACATTGTGGAACACCAGCATGTGTTGCTACACTTTCTGTATGATAGTTTTCATTGTGGGTG